GCTTTGGGGCTGTTGGTCCTTCAACCACAGACTGAAGGCTGCACTGTCGGCCTCCCTGCTTTTGAGGTTTTGGGACTTGGATTGATTTCCTTGCCCTTCAGCTGGCAGACAATCTATTGTGGGACCTCATCTTATGATGGTGTGAATCAATACTTCTTAATAAGCTCCCCGTTATATGTGCATATTTCCTCTTAGTTCTGCCCCTCTAGAGAACCCTGACTAATACATAGTGCCTTATGCAGCTTTTATTCCAATGAAGTTAAATCTGAGAAAGAGACCAAACAGGTGGTTCTCCTCTCTGCTCCTCAGAGGAGAAATCCACTTGCCTTCCTGGTGACTGACAGGCTCTGAGGTTCCTGTCTCATTGTCGGTCATCCTTTTTCTACCCAAACTCGACAACAGGTCAGGACACTCAGAAGCTCAGAGAAGTGTGTGCTTTTCTACATTGCTGGGCAGCTCAGTGCTCATCCCCCTGAAGCTCCCCAGGCTGACCCTCATGTCCTGCAGGAAGGACATTTCAGCTGGCCCCCGACCCTCAGAAAGCAGAGCCTGGGGTAAAAAGCAGGTGCCAGTTCTTCATGAGGTGCTGAGGATGGAGGAGAAGGAAAATGAGAAAAGAAAGCTTGAAGTAGAAGTGGTGTGATGTCCAGCATTGTCCCTGCTCCAGAAGCCCCCAGGAGACTCACCAGTCTCTCAGCAGGTGGTCCTGTGGTCCACAGGACTTCTCCAGGAGAGCTGAAGGGAGGAATCGCACCACAGATAATTCTGGGGAGGGAGAGAGGGAGTCTTTGATCTACCTTGCTTCTTCCTACCTCCCTCCACCTTAGAAGAGCTGCCTTATAAGCACTCCCAGGTGTTTCCTCCTGTCCTGGGCAGTGGGAAGCCAGGCCAATGTCCTGAGTCATAGAATCGTGTCAGTGTCAAGAAGGAAGCTGACCAGACACAGGCATAGCACAGAGGAGGAGGGAGAAAGACAAGGGTCAGAGGAGGCTGAGAAGGGTTGCAGGGCCGAGCTCTCAAAATGTCCCTAGAAGTGTTTTCTCTTTCCCCACCTTTGTCATTTCAAAAATGGTCATTCGGGCATGACACAGCAGCACTGGGCCAGAATATTCAGCTCACCAAAACACATGCTCGGCTGCTGTTCTGGATAAAGGACGTGAGGTAATGAATAATTCCTGGAGTTTCGTGGAGAATTTGGCCAAGTTTTAAAGGCACTGGAAAGAAAAACATTGTTTCCGCATGTTAGTGAAAGAGCAGTAAAGAGCACAGTAGGGCAGTGTGGCTCAGCCAGGGAAACAGGACCCCGGAAGAGGATGTGTGGTCTTGACTACCTGGGAGACGCTGGCGATTCTGATGTGGAACCTACTCCTTTTTAAGTACCACCTCAGTGTCATCAAAGGAATATGGCTGTGAGTGAGTTGAATAACATTTCCATATGCGATCTGAGTGCCTTAGTACACATTGCCAGGTGCAAGAGAGTGTAGTTTTCATTTAATAATAACGTTTGGGTTTTCATTTCTGTCTGGTGGCATTGTTTGCTTCCTTTGGGCTCCTGGTTGAAAGTGAAGGGTTCATGGATTGGTCTGACATTAAATCACTAACACAGCAGACACCAAAGTGAAAAGAGTCCCAGGAAGGGCCACAAGCCCAATGCTCTTCCCTTTTTGATGGTTTTCGTAAATCCAAGCATTATGCTAAAATTAAAACGGCAAACTCAAAACCAGGCAAAGCGTTGATCTAGAAGAAAAACTGGTACATTGCCGGAGAAAATAAAGAGATAAATTAGACACTAAAGCCCATTTAGACTGACAAAGGGTGGAGAGGCAGAATTCAGAGGAAACAAAGGGAAATTATGCACTGTGCACATAGACACTGGGGATCGGGGACCACAAGGCCACACTGTTACCATGAAAAGCAGACTGTTAAATTTTATGATGCTGGGAGACAAACGCCTTCCAAGAAAAAGTAAAAAATCCCACTAGGTTTATACAATCCGAGCCAGCAAAGTTTATGCTTTCAGAAAAATGTGTCTGAAAACGGGGGATTACAATACAAACCATTGTGTACCAACCGCCTGCCCCCGCCTGGGGTTCCATGACGGCTTTCATAGATAGACATAAGAGATACTGAGCTCTGATTCTGCGGTGGACAGGGGTTTCTTTGCCTCTGGTGGAATTCCTTTCCCTCTGAAATGCCACTTTTCTCAAGACGATTTTCTTTCTCCCTGGTTTATTGTCTGAGTAAGCCTTTACTGTAGGCAAGGAATCTTTGGCTACACTGGGCAGTGCCAAGAACAGTCAACAATAAACAAATAGTCATAATATTCAGCAACATGTCAGTTATTGGAACACATAAGATAATTGTGGAGCAGGCTGAGGGGCTTTGTGTCTCTTTCCCTCCAGCCACGGAGATTGCTTGCAAGTTTTCCTTAACGTTTTAAAAATATTGAAACTGCTCCTTAAATATTTTAATGGCCTTTTGCACCCTCACATTCCCTTCAACCCAGCTTCCTGACTTAGCTTTAATAGGACACAAAACTTTTGTCATCTCTACCCAGCACTGGCTTCATCTACTCATAGTTCTATTGTTTACGTATATTGCTTATTTCTTAGTTGATATTCTGCATGTATCTATCTGTGTCCATGATATGGTCAACTCATAGATTTTGCTCTCTCATGCTTTGACTCTGTGCTCCTCTGTCAGGCAGCAAACCCTGCAATTTGCTTTTGAATCCTACAACTGAGTACTTGGATGGATGAAGTGGTTGCAGTGTGCCTCTGAGGGATACACGTGAAGGTGGAACCACTGTGGAACGGAAGCTTCAGAGAAGTCGCTGTCTCCATGGACCCATTGCAAACACAATGACCTGATGAGGAGAGAAATTCCATCTTGGAAAAAAAGAGACAGCTGAGTCTGCAGGGTCCCTATTTGTGAGTCTAAGACTTTATAATCAATTTTGAAAGATGGAATCTAATAGAAATTTAAATTCTGTCTCTATTAGGGCTCATCAAAAAGGGGCATAAGTCATTGTCTTTTAAAATTCCTTCTCGTGACTCTAGTTAAAAAGACTGAAATGAATTCTGTTAATATACTTTTCCACATTCTATGCTAGCTATTTTATTCTTTGAATTATCACATACACAACATTCAGTACTATTTTTAAAATAAATATCCTAGAATCCCACCTCATCTGATTTGCTGAGATTTTCCATTTAATTTTCTTTGACGTGGCCTCTGGTAATGTGATGTGCCTGTGTGCGTGTGTGAGTGTGTGTGTGTGTGTGTGTGTGTGTGTGTGTGTGTGATATAGGTATACACAGGTCACGCTAGAACAGCAGGGGATTAAGGAAGCCAACCCCTGCATAGAAAAAAAAATTCATTCATAACTTTTGACTCCTCAAAACCTGCATACTAATAGCCTACTCTTGACTGGAAGCCTTACTGATAACAAAAACAATAGATTAATGTGGGTATTTTATGCATTCATAACATATCTAACTTTCTTGTAATTTAAAAAATAATTCTAGGCTACACAATTTATCTGTGAGTTTTTAAAAACTGTTGCAAATCTCCAAGATTGTTCTAAAATATTGATTGAAAAAAAAATCCACATATAAGAACCTATGTAGTCCAGAGTCAGCAAGCATTTAATGGGGTTGGTCGGCTGGAAGACTTATCCTGAAGCTTTTGCTGACGTAGAATACACGGCGTATAGAGTACAAAACAAAATCAATGGGAAGAACGCATTTCAGTGGTGTGGAAAGAATGTTTAAAATGAAGAAAAGATTTTCAGTGAAGGTCAGAACATTTGAAGAAGCAGGTAAAAACATAGATAAATTTTATGTCATATTTACTCAGGATACATGATTTATTTTATTTTATTTTTTGTTTCTGAATGAACTTTACTTTTAGGGCAATTTTAAGCTTACAGAAAAATTACGCAGAAAGCACAGAGTTCTCATAGACACCACCCCCTCCCCTAGAGTTAGCCTTTTGTTATTAGCAACGTGCATGAGTGTGGTAGGTTTGTGACCACTGAAGAACCAATATTCACGAGGCAGTCTGAATAACGCCTCTGACCCGGCCACCTAAGAGGCACCTGCAGAACAGCTGACTTAGGATCTGAATCTGGGTTCACCTTCCCTAGCCTCTGTGGTAGCCTGCCTTGTTTTATTTGACTTTCTTCAGATTGAAGCCTTCTTCTAAAGCACACTCATGGAGCTTGTCTGCAGGCGTAAGGTGGCCGGAGAAGCTCTGCTCACAGTCCACTTCCAGGAAACACACTGCGGGAGAGGAGGAGCCAGGGCTCCCCTTTGTATTACTCTCACATCCTCAGCAAGGGCTTAGTGTGAAATCAAACTGGGTACTGTGAAGGCAGCTATGAATTAGTGGGAAAGAGTACAGATTATTTCGTGAATGCATTCACACACCCTTTTTAACAAAAAATGCATAGTTTGAAATATGCCAATTCAATCCAGCAGAATTGCTGACTGCTGAGAATGCACGGTCTGTGATTTGCAGTCCTGTAGGTCCTATGAGCTCAGCTTCCTCAAAATATGTTTTTATTCATCTGAACAGCCCTTACTCAGAAATAGAAATTGAGCAAGAAATGCCAAAATAGAGAAGACATTAAGTGTTTGCTAATGTATTTGACTTTAGTTTTCTTGGGTTCAACTTGGCAGCATGTATTTAACTTAAAGCTCCCTTAGTTGTTTCTAAGAATAAATGGAAGGAAAACATTCCCTTGGTGGAGACAGAGATTAGATGTGTGAGACCTGGAGAGTGTTGGGGTGGTCAGGGGATGGCCAGTACCGGCTCAGCCTCCGCAGTGGGATGATCGCGGCCAAACTTTATCTGTCTGGGTTGCCATTCATTTCAATTCTAAAATGAGACCTTCTAGCTCTAAAGATAACAACCGTATCTGCAGTTAAATAATTCTTAGTACATGATCATAGGAGGACCAGAAATGTAATTTTTCTTGAAGTCAAATTAAATTCAACTTCAGGTTAAATCCATTTATTTGTTCAGAAAATTGTTGAATTGCCCTTAAGATTTCATCTATTGTGATGCCACACCAGGCGTCTTCATGGCACAATCTCTGCAGCGTTGACATCTTTCTGGGGAAAGAAGATTGGGGAGCAGAGGGACATCTGGGCTTTGGGAACGTCACACACTGTGTCTCTGGGAGACGCTGTGATAGTGAGAAATGTCTTATCACAGTTGTCAACGACTTCATTGGGCAATCTGTTAACTAATGGTACTTCAACTGCTTTCCCTGAGGAATGAAAAGAGAATTAGATCAGTGCCAAAAAAAGTGGGCTTTTTGTCTACTTCTTTAAAAAAAATTAACTAAATAACTTTTGTTTCTCCTCCTTGATCAGTGTTTCTCAATCCTGGAAGCATGTCAGAACCACCTGGAGAGCAATAAAAATACCGATGACATCACCTGGGCCCAGGCCAGGGAAACCAGACTCTCAGGGGAAGAGGGCTGACTTTTCCCCCCTGCCTTTTGAGGGCGGGGGCCTGTTTTTGTTTCGGTTCTTTTCAGTTCTTTCCCCACAGAAAGAACTGGTGCTGCTAGTTGTTCTGGGACCACACTTTGAGCCACTGCGTCCTCAGTTACTTTTAAGTCATTAGTTCTCAAAGTGTGGTCCTCAGACAAGCAGCAGCACCAGTGTCTCCTGCACAGGAAGTGCCAATTTCCTCCCAGCTCTGCTGGCTGAGAAGCTCTGGGTGTGGGACCAGCAGCCTGTGCTGTAAGGAGCCCTCCAGGTGCTGCTGCGGTGGGCTGAAGTCTGAGAACCACCCATCTAAGGTCTATGGCTTCAACTCTCTGTCTCGGAGTGCAAGTTAAACTTTCCCTCTCTACTTTCCTTCAGCTGGTTCCAGGTGTGTGCCTACGCATCCCGGCAACGCCTTGTATTCATGTCAAATGCAAGACCGAATCTTCCCTTGACGTTTTTTAAACCATCTATGCTCCTCACCATGATTCTGATGTGCCGGCTCAACAACTCAGAGCTGTCTTCAGTTTCTCCTGGTTTCCTTGCCCAGCAGTTGGTCTGTCCCCGAGTCTGTGTGCCTCTCCCTCGCCCTCCCCTTTGTCACAGGACTGGCTGTGCTCTCATTATCAATCTGCCGTGAGTTCCCACAGAGACCCTTCTGCAGAGGAGGAGGACTCTTTCCCCATCTCCCCAGCTATCATCCTGATCATCTTTGTTGCTTCCAAACAGCCTTCATTTCTCGTCAAAGCCCTCGGCCCCTCTCAGTACCATAAACAAACAGATCCATCACTTCTAGAAATTAGTACAGATACAAGTCCCTGTCTCTCATATAGTCTGGTGACACTTATCCCCACCAAGTTGCTTTTCTGTGCGCCCTCCTCAGATCCCGGAGGCTGGCAGCGTGAGCCGCCCCGGGCTTCCTGCTTCTGCAGCTGGCATCACGATCACTCAACAGTTTCTACTGGAAGCTTCCTCCTGAGGTTTGTTCTGGATTGATCCTCGTATCTGTCATCCATCCTTCAAGAGTCGGCTGAATTTTGACTGCCTCCCACCCAGAAGGAATCACTTCCTCATTTGTGCTCCTGTAGGATTTTCTTTGTAACGTTATAACACTTGACACATTAATATGAGTCTAGCTTTTTTATGACAAACAGGACCGAAAGTCAGAAAAGTGTTCTTGCTGTCTCCACCCAAGCTTCATACATGGGTTAAGTGCTGGCTTATTTCTTTCTCTGCTTGGATTGCCCCTTAACCTTTAAGTTCTTTAACCCTCTGCTTGCATGGTCTGCTTGGGTGTCTGTGGCATCAGTCAACATGCGTCAGCAACGCTTTGCCAGGGGCCTCTCCAGGTTCCCTGTAGATCTTTCTAATTTTCTTAATGATATTACCACTATCAGTGATTCAAAGTGAATCCTTGAAGGTGTCCCTGACATACTCCCCTTCACTCCCATGTCTGCAATTTGCTCCAAAGTGTTGATTCTTTTATTTTATTGCTTTTTTTTTTTTGAGACTGAGACTCACTTTATTGCCCAGGCTGGAGTGCAGTAGTGGCATTTTGTCTCACTGCAACCTCCATCTCACAGATTCAAGAGATTCTCGTGCCTCAGCCTCCCGAGTAGCTGGGATTACAAGCACCCACAATTACGTCTGGCTACTTTTTGTATTTTTAGTAAAGATGGTGTTTGATCATGTTGGCCAGGCTGGTCTGGAACTCCTGACCTCAAATGATCCACCCACCTTGGCCTTCCAAAGTACTGGGATTACAGTCGTCAGCCACCGCACCTGGCCTGTTTTATTCTTTATGATAGGAATTTTCCTCCTTAGTCAACAACCTAGTTGATCTCTTATCCATTTATGCCTGCTAAATGTGCAGCAAACATAGGCTGGCACAAGTCTGTGGGCGAGGATGACTTTCTCCTGTGTCCCCCACTGTGACTGTTAAAATCCTAATGCCATAGTCAGGCAACTATAGCTCTGTAGAGGAATGACAATTATTAAGAACCTAAGGAATACAAATACAGATATGCTTATGAATGATTACTCCACATTAGAGAGTGAGCATGGTTTACTTCCATTCATAACCAATACATTAACTTCACTATCTTTTGCCTCACCTCTGGACACATTCTTAGCTTCTCAACTCTCCCACCTCATCCTTGAACACTTTGTCAAGCAGATTTCCCATCTTTTCCATTAGTTTCAGTAGGACATGCTCATTTTTTAGCACTTTAGAAAGTTGAGACTCTTTCCTGGTTCAATTTATCATAACACCCAAGGCATCCATCCTTCCCTGTGGAGAGACTATCACCAGCTTGAGAACTTGAAGCAGGAGGATGCCGGCCTGCCTGGTTTTCCTCACTCCTCCTCTTGGGTGGAGGACAGGACTTGGAAGGTGGAGACATAAAGGGTTCAAAGGTGTTTCTGGATGAGGCAGCAGTCATCTGGGGTTACTGCCATGTTCCTGGCAGGGAGGGGGAAATGCTGGCACCCTCTCCCTCTCTCTCTCTCCCTCCCTCCCTCTCTCTCTCTCTCTCTCTCACACACACACACACACAGACACACACACACACACACACACACACTGTCTCTCTCTCTCTCTCATGGTGCCTGTAGATGCCTCACAGACCTGGTGTTCACTCTGATCCTGTGGTTCCCTGGGAAGGTCTGAGCTCTGCTCCTGTGCTAGATTGTGGCACCCCATGGCTTCTGTTCCAGGAAACCCCAAAGCTCCTTTCTGCTAGAATTGCTTCCCCTGGCAGGCAGGACTCTTGGCAGGACCTTCTCTGTGATGCAATCCCAGCTACTTCTAGAAGCATCTTCTTGGGCTGTGGGATAGGTCAGTGTCATGCCCCAACCATTGGCATAAGAGCTCCCCTCAGATGACCACCTGAGGCTGCTCCCGCCTGCCCAGGTGGGAGTCTAGTGTCAGTGTTGGTCTCCACACTGCGGGAGGTGCACGTTGAATGCTTTCCCCAGAGAACTCCCCTAGGGCTTCCTAGGCAGCAGGGGCAGCTCCGAAAGCCTCCAGCAGGGGTGAGGGTGGGAAGACAGACGTGAGTCTCCATTCCAGCACATCACCTTTGCTCGCTGATTATTTCTTTCCAAGATCCTTGTTTGTTTTGATGTGGGAAAGGAATGTAGAGCATTCCAATAACTTTGCCTGATCAATCCTCAATCTTTTTCTTACTGTAAATCATTAACATTCTCTATTATACTCTGGAGGTGAGTGAATAGCCTCAGAACGAGCTTTGGGCCCCCACATGTACTATATGCACAGTTCTGCATTCTCTTTTCAGGATGTGGTATGATTGAGACATGTTCTTCTCAACTTTGCTGACTCAGGTGAGACCAGGAAAAAAAAATCATTTAACATCTGGTGGCAGAGTTAACTGTAGCAAAATATATATGATGTGCCTTAAAGTAGCAAGCTCAAATCCAGATCAGTTAGCTTACTCCAGAACTGACAGGCGCTCCATAGGCTAGGTAGCATCTGTCTGGTTCAGTCCAACCTCCTCCTCTCCCACGCTGCCCGTGTTTCACGGTCTCATCTGCTCTCCACTCCCTTCTTTTTCTCGTCAAGCCTCCCGTGGCACGGGAGGGTTCCTGTGTGCCTGCGTGTGTGCACACATGCTCATGCATACTTTGTGTACACTTAGCTGGGCAAATAGTCTCAGATTTTGCAAATTGACTTGATCAATATTAAAATTAAAAGAGGAGCTTTGAGTGAGTTTTGTTCCCAGGGCAGTTTTTCTTCTTTTGTTAAGCTTTTCAAAAATATTTCTTATCAGTGTGTGACTTCTCTCCCAATTTGCAGCTCCCTGGGGCTTGTATTTTTAAATTATTTTGATAACATCCTGGTGCACAGTGCTTTCCGCATTTTCTGCCTGAGCACCCTGGGAAGGCTTAGGAGGGTCCCAGGGGGAGTCAGAGACTGGAATCTTCTTTTCCCAAAGCCCCATTAGTTGGTGTTTAGATCTTAAGTAATTTTTTTTGTCTCTGGAAGTTCCGTAGGCAGATTGACAGCTGCCTTGGGTCTGCAGCTCTTGACCTTGCCAATCTTTAGGACATTGACTAAACATCTTAGATTAAAAAGGAAAACTTCCTCTTCCCATTATTTATAATTACTATGTTTCCAATTCAGTTTCTGTAAATATATGTCATTACTATTGAATAGAACAAATTCTACATTAAATTGAAGTGAAAATGTTTTATTTTACTTATAATTCACAAGCATGTTTATTTCTTAATTCATTTTACTTTAAATTATGAGATCAGGTTTCCAAGTTTAGCCCCACGTTAATTTGCACAAATGGTTGGGGGTGGTTTGGGGAGTGTGTAAAAAAACTCAACCATTTTGCTGTCCACCAGGTGAACATGCGCTTTGCAGTAGAAGAAACCAAACTCTTCTATTTTTTGGTCACTGAAACATCCATATTAAAAAACAATTTTAAAGGAAACCCTTTAAATGCTCCTCAGCAAACACATGAAAACAATTTCACCAAAACAATAAATTAATTTGGTTTTATTCCAGGAGGGCAGCAGAAAGAATCTCTGGAAGTATCACTGACATGGGTGTTTTCTTCTTTTGAGGAGAGACTGACTAAGAATTGCCTGTGGAAAGCTCCTGTAAAAAGAAAATTCATCAGGATGTTGACAGCTAGACTCAAATCGCGTGTGGTCGGCATCTTGTCGCCTCACTCCATATCATTCATTCTGTTTCCTCATTCCCAACGGAAGTGTAGCCTCAGCCATCCTTGGAGGACTTTTTGAAGGTGTTTACATTCTGCAATTTCACACTCACATTTTGAAAGAACATATAGTTGAATCTCAATTTTTTAATTAACATCGAGAGTGAAATAATACCCCCTGGATGAGGATTACTCTTCTTCCTTTATCCAGTTACCATTTCCGAGGTTGGAGTGAAGCCATGCAACATCTTCGGTGCAAATCTAAATTTTAAGTATAAAGCAAGAATGTTTTTAAAGTATTTTCATTAAGCTTCAAAAATACGTGCACAGCAATTGTTTCCATTTAAATACATGCTTCAATGTTGTCCGTTTCTCAGATATCTTTCTTCTGTACCATCCTTTCCTCTTTATTGATTTCTTTATCCTGGTTCATTTAAAAAAATCATGTGTTAAAAGACATATTAAATGATATATTTCCAATGTTATTTATTTAATTTTTAAATTAATTTATTTTTAATGTACATGTATAAGGGCTAGTTGAGTGTTTAATTCAAGAGTCATAATGATATTCTCTTAGAATTAGGTAAATATTCCTGCATAGACTTCTAAATCAATCTGATTCTGGTTTCTTTGCAGGAAAATTGTCCATCCCAAGTAGATGAAGGCTTTGTTGTCTTTATATTATATGACCGCTCAGTGATTTTTTAATTCAAAGTTAGGAGTCAAACCATGGAATTGGAATTTTACCCAAACAGTACCTCAGAATCTTTCTTAACCTAGGCAACCACCGTTAATCAGTAATAACTGATGCACAAGACAGAAACTATTTTCTACCCCTTCTCTAAATAATAGGAGGCTTTTAAACTGACTTTCTAATTCATTAACTAGATTTTCTTTGGTAGCTTGCATGTTATTTATTTCTATTACGTTTTAAAATTTGAAAGTCAGATTTTTATTTCCCAGAATGCTCCATATTGTTTGGTGATAATGGCAGGCTTAGTACGGTGGTTTTGATGTTTTAAGTTTTCCTATTTCCCCACTAGGTTTATAAGGTCTCAGTCTGTCATCTAGGCTGGATTACAGTGGCATGATCTAGGCTCACTGCAACCTCCACCTCCCAGATTCAAGAGATCCTCCAGCCTCACCCTCCTAAGTAGTTGGGATCACAGGCATGCACCACCACACCTAGTTAATTTTTGTATTTTTAGTAGGGACAGGGGTTTCATTAGGCTGGTCTCGAACTCCTGACCTCAGGTGATCCACCAGCTTCGGCCCCCTGAGGTGTTGAGATTACAGGCAGGAGCCATAGCACCAGACCCGTGAGGGCTTTTCCAAAGTTTGCTTACATTAATTGTATCATCTCTCAACCCCGATGACCATGGCCAAGCAGAATTTCTGCTCACTCAGCTCACCTTTGATCCTCAGACACTCAGATCCGAGAGCTGCTCATGGACCCTGGAAATTCAAGGGCTGGGAGGTACTGGCCCTCTTTCTGCAGAGGCTTCCCCATAGTGAGTAGGTTGTGCCTACTCAGTCTTCTGCCAAAGCTGCTCCATGTTTCAGATGTGTAACTAGACCCTCTTTATATTTCACATATTTGATAATCTCTTTTCATGTTGCATTGATTTTGGCATTTTAGTAAGAAATTGGGAGACATAAGGATTTGTATGCATGGCTCTATACATTTTCCAGTTTATTTTAAAATGATCTTTTAAAGTTTTTTAAAATCTAGCACTTTAGAATTGCCATTTCTATATAATGTTCCTATGATTAGCTATGGTAAATCAAAAAGCCCTTGAATTCTTCTCTCATTCCACATCAGAGTAACGTAAAGTATGAAGTCTGTTTGTCTTTGGGCTGAGCTTTAAAAATTTCCTACTCTAGTTAGCTTTCATTTAAGATCCCCAAGTCGATGTGCATGTTTTGTAAGATTATCCCTTAGTAAATATGCAGGAGATGAAATTGGAGCAATTATTGCTATTTCTCTCTTAAAATGTAGGACGGAGGATGAAGTGATGTCTGCTGCTTTGCCATGGTCATATGGTGATGTGTCTGGCCCACTGATCAAGTATCTGTCCACCCAACTATGATGACTTCATTATTGACCCAACTTTCTCTCCTTCTCCATCCAATTTTAGCTTTTTGGACTTCTGTGTACACATACACTGCCTTTGGAGCACTCTTAAATGACTATATCCCGTTGTATTTTGTTACATGTGAAGAAAATAGTAGATTTCAGATTCCTGAAGATGAAGGATCTTCAATCCTGTAAAACAGCAATCCTAAACATTAAAACACAGTTTTAGAAGAAGGATCAATTCTCCAAATACAACAGATTGTTTTCAGGCAATTATTGATTACATTTTATAAGTAGAATTCTGCTACAATTTTTGGGAAATTAACATTGAGTCCATGCCCAAATTATAAAGTATTGTCCTTTCCACTACCAGCTTCATCGAGGTTCTGTTTTATTTCAGTTTCAAAACATCTTTATGCTGTGTTTGAAGTGCACCTAAAAGTAAAGAAGAAGCTGGCATGGCAGGGGGGGTGGAGATCAGTAAGCCAAATTGGCAGATCATCCTCTCCAAATCTATAGCCCATCTGTTCCTCTGCAGAAATCTGTAATGCAGACACTCATGCAAAGGCAGCTTTTGTACCAGCAAACCAATCAGAGTGAGCGATTAGAAGGAATAGAATCTAAACCTTTGACCAGCAAAATGGTATAAACTGTGTGACTTACTTCGGCTGCCTGGGATTGGCTAAAGTATAACCAGTTGTAATAGGTTCCTAAGGGTGTGCCCTAGGCATAAAACTCACGCTGGTTCAAAACATTTCTTCGGGTTCATCAAGCCAACATCAGTCATAAGGTCTAGAAAAATCACTGAATGGTTATTCTCCACTACTTTTAAAAGATTTTTTTCCCCTTGATGACAATGAAAAGTAAAAGAATCATTGTGTCTTAGCCTTTGTGCTACCATAGCAAAATACCTTAGACTGAGAAATTCATAACTAAGAAGTTTATTGATCATAGTTCCAGGGGCTGGGTCATCCAAGACCAAGTTACCAGGGAGATTCATTGTCTGGTGAATGCTTGCTCCCCTTCAAATATAGCACCTTCTAGCTGTGTCTTCACCTGGCAAAAGGGGCGAAAAAGGATGAACAGGCTCCCTCAAATCCTTTCATAAGGGACTAATCCCATTCATGGTAACAGAGCCCTCATGACCTAATCACCTTATAAAGACCCCATAACTTTATACTACTGCATTGGGGATTAAATTTCAACATGAATCTTGGAGAGACACAAACATTCAAACAACAGCAGAGTGGAAAATCTAGCTTAAACAATTATTAGAAGTTAAATTAGTTAATCTATTAAGAATCCAACATTATTCTTCTAGCAGTCTCTAAAATTAAGAGTGGGAGATA